TAAAAGTTCGGATTTGCCCCTGCCTTAAGTAGTATCTTAACAGCACGCACTTAATATTATCTATAAGCAATACCTAGCGGCCAGCCCTATACCTGTCTGGATAATAATAATCTTAAATAACGGTTGTCTAGGAAGTAATTTAAGTTAAGGTAGCGTATAGCACTAGTTAAGAGCAAAGCCTCTAGAATTAAGGAGATAGGCTTTTTATAATCTTTTATTATTAAAGTAAGAAGCAGGGAGAACCTACCCTATAAGTCGCGGAGTATCGGGTTTACTTCTATACTAAGGAGGAACAGCATAAGGTTCTTATATAAGGCGGCGCATGCGTAAAAAAGACTAGTTGTTATAAGCTGCAGATCCTTAGAAAAGCTAATATCCTTAAACCACGTATTAATATCCCAGCCTATTTCTATAAGCTTATAGTATATACTAGTATAGCCCTTTCGTACAGTATTATACTATAGTAATAATATATTCCTATACTGCGGCTAGAACCTATAATCTAATAATATAAGAACTATATCTTTTAAGTTGCCTTTAAATAAGGTTGCCGCTTCTCTAAAAAAACAATATTTACCTATTATAGCATAGGATAGGATATAGAAGAGCGATATAGCTATAAGCCTAGCTAATAAAACACCTTCTAAATATAGATCCGCTGCGGAAAGGCTATAGATGCTAAGTTTTAATATAATCTATACTACTACTAAATAAAGGGTAACTATCTAGGTAAAATAGAATAGAATAAAAAAAAAGTCGGCTATAAAGGGTAGAGGGAAACACGGCGGATTAGGCGATGCATCGGCCTTAAGTAGCTCGTGAATAATTTTATACAACCCCGATCGAAAAGCAAAATAAAGTATAGTCTACCCTTTTCTATTAGCGCTATCCAGCTTAACGTATTGCTAATAAAGAAGTTCCGCTAGCTTATTAAGGTCTGCCTCCTAAGCGGCAGTATAAAGGCGGACGTTGTACGTAGGGTTTTTAAAAAGGCGTTGGTATAACTAGGTAATTATAAAGCGACTAAAGGAACTAAAAAAGATTTCTATTTTACGGTCCCCTATATATATTTTAAAAGTATAAGACTAAAAAGGTACTATTATAATAGGTATCTGAAATTGTTGAAGTAGAAAACGGTATTTTTTAGAGCCTATAACCTATATAGTTAATGCTTTAATAAAAAAGGCTTTATAAAATAATAGCTGTTAAAACTATTAGCTAGGAAAGAAGTAGCCCTTCTAAACCTAATACTTACTAATTAGCTACTCTAATATATTATAACTGTTAAGGAACTTATAGGCTAAATCCTACTAATAGAATAGAGGATTAGCAGGCTAAGGAATAGAGCAGGATAGTAATAGATTAGTAGTATTAAAGATATTGTAGAATAAATCGCTGCTCCTAAGGTAGGTAAGCAAGTAGGGTAATAGTATAGTTTAGAATAGGCTAGTTTAGCCTTATCTAGAATAATAACCTATTACTGCCTAGCTAATATTATTACCTATTAACTCTAACTCTATTTAATAGTATAAACACTACTAAAGAAAGTTGCAGTTCGGGGTTATTAATACTATCGCGACTTATTAATTAGATAATTTCCGCCGCCTTACGCATAATTATACCCTGTAAAAATAACTAACTAGAATATAGTTGCTGTAATTATAGCAATTGTTATAATCCCCGCCTATTAGTTCCTAATTAACTCTATTTTTAAGCTACTATCCGACTTAGCGCTCTGTATTCTATACCGAAAGTATAAGTATAAGGCAATTATATAGGAAAACCTTCCTAATAGTTAACTTCTAATTATACCCTTACACGCTAGGTTATTATCCTTAGCGGCTAATAGTATAGGATTACAGAGAGTTTATCGCTTAGATAATATAAAAATCCTTTAATTTTTTAAAAGTTTATAGGGCACCAGCGCCCGGTCCGTAGAATAACCCTAATACCTAAAACGCGATAGGCGATACCTACGCGTTGACGCCGAAAGCTTAATAATAGTAATTATACTAGATAGCTGCATAACAACTACTTTTCTAGGCCGGCTACTAAACGAGCCCTTTCTTCTAAGTCCTAATTAAAACACTTTTGCTATCCGCTGTGGTTCGGTCTTAGGCTTTTTTTGCTAAGGTATATCTAATAACAACAGTAAATATATTATCGGTAGCATCTGCGGCTTCCCCTTATATAATACTATCTAGTTAAGATTCTATAGCCTATTAAAAAACAACCTATATTATATCGCCTAGGGCTACCCGCCCTTCTATCGCAAGATATTTACGGCCTAATCTGGCATCTAAGTCGACCACCCGGTGCACAGCTCTTAGAACACGGCCCGCGCCGGCTGGGTTATTGCTATTGCCTTCGGGTTTTACCTACTAATAACCCTCTATAACCGAGAATACTTAACTAAGTATAAAAAAGCGTGCCGCCGGGTGCTCTAAATACTCTAGAAGGTCCTTACCCTAGTATTTAAAAACTACTTAATATATAGACTAATACTAAATATAGCTATAGAAGGTATTACGGCTATAAATAAGGAAAAAACGGGCAGCGTCTTGCGAGCAAGTATTCACCGGGCTGTTTTTAGCACTACCGGTTGTGATAAAATTAGGGAGAATCTTAACATCGCGCAGATACGCCTTATCTTAAATCTGTTCAATAACTATAGCAAGGACGCGCTAAGCGAGGTTAAGCGCTCCGAGCTTAGCCTGCCTAAGGCGCTGCAGGCCGCGCTAGATAGAGTCTATATATAGTAGCAGTATATTAATAATAAGGGCGGCGTAATTCTATAAAGGCTTTTAGATAAAAGGATACAGCGGTGTCTACTATAGATTAAGGATTATAAGGAAAGGTTCTAACTATAAGCGTCTACTCTCTATATTAGTAATATATAACTACCTATTTATAACTTAGAAATAAGAATAGATATTAGATTATACTTATTAACTACACCTGCTTAGAAAGAGCTAAAACTAATATTTAGCCTCGGCTCTAGCTATTAGTAGATAGTTACTCCGTTCTAAAGAAGTCTAAATAAAACCTTTATATCTAGCCTGCTCGAGACTATATTAAATTATTATTATTATTTATTATAAAAAATTAAAACTAAGTGTCTTTATACTACTTTTAAATAAGTTACTAGACTATTCTATATACTATACAGTTTAAAAATTAAAATAGAAGAATTAATTAGTTTTAGTAGAAAGGGGAGAGCAGACTAAAAAAGTAGTTAAACACCTTATTTAATATAAAACCGGACAAAACCTATAGTTTAATTCCTCCTTAGCTACTTACTAGCTGCAGGTTATATATAACTATCTACCTACCTCCTATACTATAGTATATAGGATAAATATAACTTAGGAGATTTTAGTAGCATGCTAGTCTCTTACTAGAGCCTTAGCAGGCGCAGCTATTATACTATAAATCTGTTATAGTACTAAGCTATATTATTAAGCACCTAGAATAAAATAGATAGAAAATACTTGCGAAGGGTTATAAAAGAAATTAAGAGTAATAAAGGCATAATTTACAGGCGGCTAGTTTTGTTATCCTATTAGGTAATATAGAAATTTATTACTTACGCTTTAAAAGTATAGGTGGTAATACTAGTATTTAAGTAGGTATATTACTTAAGGTACCTCTACAGGTATACTAGTAGCTTTATTAACTCTAAACTAGTATAAGTGGCGAGCTAGTAGGGAGGACGGCTAACCTGCTCCTGCTAAAGGGTTATAAATAATTTAAAATATATAGAAAATAGATAGGTAGAGGTATATATAGCGCAGCTTATAATTTCGCCACTCTTTATACCTTATATAATCCCCTCCGCAAAGCGCTATTACTTATTTAGTAAAGCGCCCTTCTAGCGGCCGTGCCTTCGCTAATTTGCTAATGTATGTAAATTACATATACCGTGTTAAGTTTAGCTGATTCGGATTTTATACTAGCTAGATTCGGAAGCCGCTTTAGCTAAAAGTACCGACCAGGGTGGCGATCTTGCACAAATCCGCGTGCATTAGAAGCTGCGGGACTCCTAATGGCTTCCTGCTATCGCAATAGTATTCTAACGCTTAAGCCCTGTAACTTATATAGTCCGAACTGGGTAGAGTTTATAATAAGTCTTATAACAAGGGTTTCTTGTTTATAGCATGAAACGAGTCTTTTTGCAAGATGGGCAAGAACGCTGTAAAGTGTGCGTAATTTTTGGATAAAGCAACTTTAAAGTGTGTAGAAATAGCTACAGCACAAAATGTAAGAGTATTAGCGCAGTATTAAGATGTGTGGACGGAGATTGAAGGGCTTGAGGATAGGTACCTCGCTTATTTCTCGACAAACAGTGTTTTTCTACCAACAGTGGGGGACGTTATGCATAGAGTCTAAGGTGTCTGAAGTCAATATACCCCGCAAATTTTACGGCACGGTGGGCATTGCGTTACTCGGGTTGCAGCACTACAACCTAGGGTCAGCAACTCATATGCAGTAACGTATCAGGATAGCATGCTGATACAGGAGGAAGTAACAGGTAGTGCAACAGCAGTGCTGCAGCACGGTATCAGTACTGTATCAGGAAACAGGATGAATCAAGTAACGCGTCAGGAAGAGATACCACGTTATGCCCCCGGGGCTGGCCCCCCTCCTTCCCCTAGTATATAAACAACGAGCTAGACACCCATAGAAATCAGAGTTCACATCAATTTCAACCTGAGTGCTGGGCTTTCCACTCTAACCTTAATTATTTCCGTTGTTGTCTATTATCCGTACCTACCTGCTTTGCTCCAGATTCTGGCCTCATTAAGAGCGATTTCTCAAGTGTTGGCCATCGGGATATCGGCCGGCCAGCTCGCCATCGTCCAGAGGTAGTTGTTTTAGGGAGGTTCTATTTATTCGAGTTGTCCGGTGGCTAGGGTAAACTGTATAGTTTAGTTAACTACCTCTATATCCGGCTTCCAAGATTTAGATGGCCCATCCAGGTATTCTCCCTCTGCTGTCTTCTATTCTGTCCTTCCACCCAGGAAGAATAAGAGGTCACCCCACCGGGTTCCTGCCGCCTCTACCAGCGGCTTCCGTTGTTCTGTCCATCTAGAGCACTCGAACAGGAAATATCGGGCTGTTTCCCTTCTAGGTCCACATTCGCAGTCAGTCGATTCCACGGCCTTCGTCCTTGCTAGGTTATTCCAGGATACATTTGCATTGCAGCGCTACGAGAGATACAATACATCGCAGGTTTGCCCGAGCTGCCTGCCCAACTCCCTGCCACAGTTTTTAGCAGCTGGCCTCGTTTACTCAGCATTGCTTCCACAGAGGTCGGTGGACGAAGCCTCCCCCTGCCTATGTGCACCTGATTTGCTCCATAAGCCTATCTTTTGCAGCTTGCCACTGCCCTAATAGACCGACACGCGCATCCGTCCTTTCGGGCTGTATAGACAGTGTCACCAGCGAGGTGTTGATCCTCCTCCCGTTGTAATGGCCTCCAAGCCCCTATTCGCCTTAAGTTGCTATGGCAGGGCTGCCCTAGCAGCTCTTTGCCTATTATAAGTCCACTAGGCGTCTACCAGGCCGTGCAAATAGGCCTGGCGAGTGACCTAGAGCTGACTGTCGCTGCTATTATACACCACGCCTCACGGCTAGCTAGCAGTTGCCTGCTAGCCAGCCCCTTCGCGTTACCTGTGACGCTCTTGCGACAACAGGCCGACCGTGTCTTGCAGATGTAGGCCCATAACAACCCCACGCCGGGCGGCTGTCAACCCTCCGCCATCTACTAACCAAACTTGCCCTCCTCTTCTTGTTATTATTGTCCGTTCCAGCTCCTTTTCCTAGTCCCCCCTATGTCCAAGGCCTGCGCCTGGCCGCCCAATGTCGCTGTCCAGTCCAAGGGTTGCCCCAGCGTCGCGTCCAGGTCCAAGGACTGCACCTGGCCGACCAATGTTGATAGGAAGAACAAGGCGTCGAAGAGGATTAACGTCGTCAGATTTAAAGAAGGATCTAGATAAGCACAGAGGTGTCCTATCGCATCGCCAGGCTTGTGCCCTCTTGCCTCCTGACAACAAGAGGACCCTCCCTGCCGCTCCCACTGGCAAATGCAGGCGCCAGCTTGTGGTTCCAGTTGGGTGCTGAATAACAATATGTCGGGTGGTTTTCAAATCGTTCCTCTGTTTGTTGAAATTGGCTGCTGCTGTCGAATTTTGTTGTTGTCGAGAATGGTGGTGGCAGGCCGCCAAGCCTCGTGAAAACTCTGCCTCTGGAGCTGCGCGGTGGACGATGTTTTCAAAGGCGTCCACTTGCAACGACAACGTCGTGCGCTCCTAGCGGACGTGATCCTCATACTTAGCTCGCTCAGGAGAACAAGATGAGTGGGAAGGAACAGCCCGCACGACAATACGGGCCGGATCACGAGTTTGGTGTTCCCCCTCATGCAGGGCCGCCATCCCAGTTGGTACCTCTGATCGGGATGATTGCCTATTCTGGCTAGCACAGAACTGCCACATAATCGTAACGTAATCTAACAGAGGGCGGCTACCAGCCACAAATCGGAGCTGTGGCTGTCACGCCTGTGGCTATGCAAAGCCTTCGGGCCGACGTATGCCCCGCAGCCTTGCGATCGAACTTACTCCCCGCCAACCAGCTCACCTCTTGTAGATTCGCCACCTTACAAGGGTGTGGCAGGTGCGGTTCGGCCATCCTCCCTGCTAGCGTTATTAGAGGAGTCCATTAGTTTAACGATGTTAAAGTGGCGATTCGTTGACATGTAAGTAGTTCTAGAAGTAGCTATCTCACCACCCCTTGATTCTAGAGCATGCTCGAAGCTTCTCTGTGGCAGATTAACAGTGCATATAGTTATGTTAATCCCCGGCCCTCTATGAAATAGAGAGAATAATAACATATAGGAGAGCAAATTACGTTCGTAGAAATTGTATTGTTAAAGCGCCCCGAAGTCGGCGCCTTTCTCTAGCAGCAGTTTCACCACCTGTTCGTGGCCTCCCAATGAAGCCGCCTGGAGTGCGTTGCCGTAGACTCCACCCTGCGCGTTAACGTCGGCGTCCTTCTCTAGCAGCAGCTTCACCACCTGTTCGTGGCCTCTCTTTGAAGCCGCCTGGAGTGCGTTGCCGAAGTGTCCACCCTGCGCGTTGACGTCGGTGCCTTTCTCTAGTAGCAGTTTCACCACCTGTTCGTGGCCTCCTAATGAAGCCGCCTGGAGTGCGTTGCCGTAGTGTCCACCCTGCGCGTTAACGTTGGCGCCCTTGTCGAGCAGCAGCCTCACAATCGCCTCGTGGCCTCCCTCTGAAGCCGCCTGGAGGGCGTTGCCGTAGTATCCACCCTGCGCGTTAACGTCGGCGTCCTTCTCTAGTAGCAGCTTCACCACCTGTTCGTGGCCTCTCTTTGAAGCTGCCTGGAGTGCGTTGCCGTAGTATCCTCCCTGCGCGTTGACGTCGGCGCCTTTCTCTAGTAGCAGCTTCACCACCTGTTCGTGGCCTCCCTCTGAAGCCGCCTG